TCTCTAATGTCATTTCGAAGGACATCTCTCCGTGTCATTATGGTAATGAATCTCGCCATCTGGAACAATTTTACAATCACAAAGCACAAAGCTATAGTCAGTACAAAACCGACAAGCCGATACAAAATCAGCTTAAATCATTACAGAAAAATTAAATAACCACACCATATTCACACAGATCATATATGAGGTCCCATAGATTTTTTTAAAAAATTAAAAATTTTTAAGCATTTCGACTAATTTTTAAAATATTTTTCACTAAGAAAAACAATTTTTTAAAAAATGATTAGACAACCTTGAAAAAATAGTCAAAGAATTCCTAATTCAATTTTGGGCTCATTTCTAACATTTAGGGAATTATTTTAAACCCCGAACTTTTATTTCCCTAATTAAATAAATATTTTTCACTAAGAAAAAATTTATTTTAAATATCCATATTAATCCAAAAAATTAGATAAAAATATCCATAAAATAGGAAATTAAATTACAAACACAACGGCGAAAGCCACGCGCCAATCGGAATTGTAACACACCCACAAGCTCCAAAATACTGAAAAATATTAATTTTTTAAATTATTATTATTTTTATTTTATTAAAAATTTTAAGCCACGTCATCTGCCACGTCAGGTGACACATCAGCAAGGCAAGCCATGTGTCACACCATGTCATCTGCCACGTCGGGTGACATGTGAGCATGTGAGCCACATGTCATGCCACGTAACCTAACACATCACTCAACACGTCATCAGTGTACACCACGTGTCAGTCCACATCATTCGTCACGTCAGATTTTTCTGACACGTGTCGCTGCAAGATGATGCCACGCGTCGGGTAGCGGTTATACCATGTCTATTGCTTTACAGGTGTCACCAAAGCAATGGTCCACGTGTTGAGACGTGGCAGTTACTGGCAATAACCGCCAGTAACCTCCCACACACACCTCCATTGGCGTGTGTGATACACTCGCCGTTTTCGGACGGTTTTTTGAAGTTCTGGTTTCAGTTACGCCCCCGTTTTCGACCCTTCTGAATTTAATGGTGGTCTCAAAATTGCATTTTAAGAGGTGTAAGTGTCTGTTTGGGCTTCAAAACCAAGAAGCCGAGAGTGGGTTTGAGAAATATTGATTTTCTAATTATGTATATTCAAGAAATATACAAGAAACATGTTGTAACTTCAAAAAATCATAGAAAATCACACATTTGTCTATTTTTAACATATGATATATCAAATCGAATGTCTTTCCGAACTCTATCCAACAGTATAAAGTCCTTATCATAATTTTGAACACACAAGAAGAAATGAATTTTCGAAGATTATGCCTAATTTATGAATAAAAACTCATATCTTTTTGTATACTCAACAGAAAATTCTGAAATTTTCACAGTGTGTTCATATTCATACGAGGTTACTAAACAAAAATTATCAAGGCATGATTCGATCCATACATAGGATAATTATTGTTGATTCATCAAGAAATTTTCATGCAAGAGAAATGAATAAAACTTGCTCTAATACCATTTGTTACTTTTAAAATACTGATAATATAATTTGAAATTGACTTACCTCAGATTATTAGCAGCGAAAATTTAAGATCAATTCCTTTTCTACTTGCTTTCTATCGAAATGAAATCACGTTTGATCAAATCTTCACATTCACAAGTTATAATGCCTTTGATGTGTGTTTTGGAGAGAGGGAGAGAGATTAAATGTAGGAAGAAATCCAACCCTCATTTCTCCATAAAACCATATATTTATAGGGAAATTGGGGGAGTTATGGGAAGTTATAACTTCCCTTTTAATTTAAACCAAACAGGTCAGATTGATCTGTTACTGGCGGATCGGATTCAACCCTATATTTCCAACAACAAGGAAGAAGAAGAAGAAGAAGACTTTGATCAATTTACAGCACCCATAGTGAATTCCTTGGGAGGACATGTCCCTAAGATGGTAATTGGTTTATATTACTTCCCATTCTTATAGATATTGAGTGTTAAAATTCTAGTTTTTTATTTTTTTCATTGATCTTCTTAAGCTATATAAATGAAAGTAAAGTCCAAAAATTACATTTTCTCAAATAATGGAAAACTAGAGGTAGATGCTTCTTGGACAAGGTTCTAACTTTTTTGATTTTGGACAAAATGATTGTAAACAATTAAGAAATAAATTCTGTAATGTTAAGAAGCTAGAGTGATAGAAAATTGGAGCTGAGATTTAGACTATTTTATGGGCAGATTGTCGTAGCAGGCCGTATTGGAGCCACTTTTAGGACATGGAAACCTGTGAAACCTTCTAAAATGATACTCCATTGTTGTTGTCATCCTCATCTATATCTACATCTCTGGCTTTGCCTGGTCATGGGGGCCTCTGGGGTGATATATACTTTGTTGATTCCGTAAATGCATGTTTATGAATGCATATGAATATGGACGTTTTGTTTTTGATGATGTGGGTGTGGACTTAATTTGATTTGATAATTGCCTACTTTGCCTTACTTCAAGTCTCCTCTCTGCTAAGTTGTTGAGCTTTTTCAAAGAAAGAGTGATTTTCAAATTTTATTGCATAACATTGCAGTTTGGAAGAACAAGAGAAATTTTCTTGGTGAGCCCTTTTTTTTATTGTTCTTGGCACCTTGGTTGCTAGAGACTTATGCAGACTATAAGGATCACCACATTAGATTGCGAATGCCGTCAATGTACATCTACACACATTTCATGCTTTTTGCTTTTGTAAATGCATGTGGAGGAATGCATCTAGATACGAGTGCTTTGGTTCAGCTAAAAACTCTATAGCCATGTCATTGAATTTACAAACACTAGTGCCGAATTGGATGTAAGATCTTCCATAAGTGCATCTATGAGTTTGAAGAGATGTAATTTTCCACCTCTCAACATTCCCCCATCCCTCCACCGATCCCCTCCTCCATTTATTTGTGGAATATATTTGGATTTTCACATATAAGAACCTGTTCAGGTGAAGAAATTCTTCTTCATTTCATTGAAACTATGAGAACTTCAAAAGATTCAGGACTAAGAGCTAAAGCTCTGTGGAAGGATTTCAGCACAATGTCTTGGGACACAAAGTCTAGAGTAGCATTTATCCAATTGGATGTCCATGGATTTTGAATGGTATGTTTATAATTGTTCTTGCTCTTTTGAGAGACACCAAGAATCATTTTATAACTGTTGATTTAGGTCTTAAATCCAAGTGCTTAATTGGTATAAACCTTATCCATTGCCTCAAAATTCAGAGGACCACCACTCTCAATGGTGCTGAACATCTCCATAAAGATTCTTGACTGTCAGGATGCCATTCTCATTGTATAGGAAACAATATTTCTTCTCTTCATACATATGAAGTGGTCTGTCCACTGGTAAGACAACAGATGCAATGGCCTATGGTACCATAACATGAATGAGTACTTGACATCATCAAGCAAGCTTGACCAGATCACTTTCACCTCTGAAGCATAGGAACTAGGACATGGTTCTTGAAAAATTCCAGAGTTGAGACATCATCTTCCAGTTAGAAATGTAGTCAGGCCATGTATTTGAAACAAATTCAATTGCTAGAAAGAAACAAATAAAAACTATAGCTGTGAATTAGATTGTTTTCATTCTAGAATCTGAATTATGCATTAACTCTTTTTATCTGTATTTTTCTTAGGTGTTTCTTCCTTTAAGCCTTACACAGTTACAAGACCCAATAAATGTCACAGCTCAATTTAAAATGAATCGGATGTTTCTCAATTATTGAAACTTTAAACTACTAAATAATTCTCTGGACAACTCATACTGGTTTTGAATTTGGATAGAAAGGGAAACAGGAGAAAACTTTAAAGAAGTAATGGAGTGGAAGAATCTAGCTTTTATTTCTTCTAGACCTATTATCTAATAAAAAATATAAACACAGCCATAGTTTTCTTATATTTGACATACATCTAGTGGATGTACAATTTTTTTTTCTTGGCGGCAGGCACAATAAAAAAGCCCTGCAAGACAAATTGTTACACTAATGTTCATCTTGCTGCTGAAATAGTATATCAAATTGCCTGCCATTTCAGCCATTTCACATTTCAACCTAATATCTCTGTTTTGTTCTAGTGAAGGTGCCGGGAAACCTTTACTTCCTCTGGACAAAGTGGACGAACATGAGGAGAAAGAAAAGAACAAGCCTGTCTCATACTCATATTCATTCTTTCACCTCATCTTTTCTCTTGTTAGCATGTACCCTGCAATGCTTCTGACTGGGTGGTCAACTTCTGTGGGAGAAAGTGGGAAATTAGTTGATGTGGGCTGGCCATCAGTGTGGGTCCAGATAGTTACAAGATGGGCCATGGCAGGTTTGCTCATTTGGACCATGGTTGCCCCCATTGTCTTCCCAGATAGGGAGTTCTGAGACTCCCAAGTGGTTGTATCCATTTTACGAGTAATGTCTTAAATGGATAGATGGCTCTTGTATATTTGTGCTGAAGCACTTGACTATTGAAATGAGTGGATGTTTTATGGCTATTATGTATAACTACTTACCATACCCGTGCTATTGCCTCTTGCTCCGTAGGTGTAACACTAATTGCATGAGGCATCTCCTGTTCAAGCTGATCAAATAAATCCCTGAAAGAATTTTTATGTGACAAAATCAACATGTGAATCACTCTTGATTCTTAGTCTTTATTCCTACACATAGATGACAACTTCGTTTCACAGGATTAAAAGCTTAGATAGCTAGAAAAACTAGAAAGCATACATGATATGGGATACAAACCCAAATCCAATAGAATATGGATGGCAACAGTAACTTTGAAAATTTGCAATAAGAAACAGAAGGGGCATGAAAACAATAAGAATATGCTCACATTCTTTGGCACAAGTTAAAGAGCTATTTTGGACATATTCAACACACGACAATTTCTAGGTTCCAATAATGGTCTGTGCTAATGGTCCATGCTGCTTATGTTAAGAAAATGTACATGAAGCGAACAAGGTGAATCAAATCTGCATAAATGACCATGGTAAATTGTGAAGGAAAAATAATGATATCAGTAGTTGAACTTAAGACCTTTAGGTCTAGAGATTTTGATACCATTTTTTGATTATGACATGTTCCAAAAGCTTTTGAACTGCAAGGAAACAAAGAAAGAATGATATGTCAGGCTAGTATTTCCTTCCCCATGAGTTCACATGCACGAAGAAGTTGCAAAGGTAGTCCAACCAGTATCTACAGCTAGTGCTTCAAAAGGAAAGCTATATAATCCTTTGCAAACACTAGTCCAAATTCTCTAATCCCAGAGTTCTTCAAGGCAATAAACCTTGGAGATGTCAAAGCTTTTGATATAGAGGCTTGATACCATATCAGATAATTGCATGTCCGAAATCTTTGAACTGTTCATAAACAGACTAATAAGATGTCATGCTAATATTTACTTCCTGGTGTACATCATGTGTTTCTTTTCATGCTGTTGTCCTGTAACCACTCTCATTTGAAAGGATAGAGATACTAGATGGTGGAGCATCAATGCATTGATTTATTTTTCAACCTTTTTGCTGGTAGATGTGGTCATAACAGCAATGAACACCTTGCTATAGTGGTTAAAAGTACATATTCAATGTAACTTGCCTTTTATTTCCTCTAGTCTAGAATTTACTGACTCTTTCTATCCTTCTCTCCTGTTTGGAGGGTTAAAATCAAATTTTGTTAGGGTTTTTCTGGTGGTAGCTTACCATTGATAAATTCAATGGCTGAGATTTGAACTTTTATTGTTTGTCTAATCAACTAGAAAGGATTTGGAAGGTTAAATTTTTTGAAGTTTGTGCATAATGATTTGTTGTCCTTTTCTGGACCTGCAATTTTTGTAGATTGGTTTATATCTTAGTTTTCTAGAATAGCATGACTTGAACATCACAATGGGGGTGTTGAATCTGGTCCAATTAATTGAAAGGAATAAAAGGAGTATCATGCATACTTGCTTTCTTTATGTAAATAAACTTGGCATGCGTGAGATGAAGAATCTGTCACGAATCTTGTTAATGAATTGCACTAATAGTCATAATATTTTTGCATTTTTTTTTGGTAGGGTTTGCGGTATAGGCATGCATTCATTGGTGTCAATATAATGGGAGAGCTTGATGACAAGCCATTCCGTGCAGCAACTAATAGAAAGTATCCAGCCAAAGAAGCTGTGGTGAGGGCTCGGGAGTCATGCTTATTGTGGGCTCAGCACCTTGAAGATCCCAGCTGGCATCCTTTCAAAATCATCGCAGCAGAAGGAGGAGACAAGGTATAGATTGCCTTACCCTTATAATCCAGTATCAATTCTCTTTTGACAATTCTTTTACAACGTCAAATTTTGATGTAGTACTTATGAACTTAATGTACTCTGTCCATGGCTTGTATACAGAGTCACTGTTCATTTTTTCCTAGTTTCTCATTACCTGATTCAGTTTTAATGTGAGCTCAGGAAGTAATTGACGAGGAAGATGATAAAATCAAATATCTGAAGCAAGAGTGTGGAGACGAGGTTTATGAAGCTGTGACAAAGGCCTTGGAGGAGTTGAATGAATACAATCCTAATGGTCAGTGCCCCATACTAGAGCTATGGAACAGGAATGAAAGAAGAAAGGCTAAATTGGTAGAGGGCATAGCACAAATTCTCAAACAGTGGAAGCAGCAGCAAAAAAGATATCGGAGGAGACTCTGAATTTAGAGAATGAGCTTTGTAAGATATTGATACATAACAGTGAATTGGGAAAATGTTCGCACTCCATCTGTTGTGGCTTCATAACTGGTGGATCCATTGCCTAAACTTATTTCGAGAGGGTGACAACGTTATGTTAAGTTTGTTATGAGGAAAAAACGGCAGAAAAATCAATTATGCAAGTGATTTTACTTTTTGATGGTAAGAAGGATGCATCTTACTTTGGTCAAGGTTTTTCAGGATGCATAATATCCCAAAAAATAAATAAAGAAAGAAACAATGTTTCTTCTTAGATTGGTTTAAAACCGAACAAAAATTGTCTACTTGGATGGCATGGGAAGGATGTAAAGAAAATAAAGGGTAATTAAATTGTCCTTTCTTTGGGGGACAGCGAACACTCCAGTACTTAGCCCAAAAGGATGGTTTTGAAACCTTCCCCACATGGACAAATACTAGTTGGCCATTTGGATAAGTAACTGAACATGGGTAATGACATGGATTAAGACGTGGAATTAACATTACTGTTGATATATTTTTTCCGTCTTCCCTTTGTAACTGCCATTTGCTAGAAGTCTTGATTGGAACCTCCCTCTCTCTAAGCCTTATCCCGATCTAAAATCATTCATCCGAAACCTAGCCACCCGCAGAGCTGTCGTTCTTCTTCTCTGGCCATCGATAAGGTTCAATCTCCTTCATAAATCACGGCTCACCTATCAGCTTATCCATTTGACCCATCATGAAGCTTATTTGAAGCCCCTGTTCATATCGGGACTTACCAGTCGGACGAATCCTGTGATGGCTGCCCTGATTCCGGCACAACCAGCAATTATCCCTGGTGAGCCACAACTGATGGTCTTCTTTGTTTGCCAACTTTGCTTCTCTGTTTGTCTATTATGCTTTTCATTCGGCACCACTATGTTATTTGCTTTATTCTCTGTTTACCATTATTAATACTCCCTACTTTGCTACTACTACTTTCTTCTCTTTCCTTTACCTCTACTCTTCTATGTTATATATGCATTTGATTCATTTATTGGTGTTTTTGGACTGTTGAACTAGTGATGTCGAACTGGGCATTTTAATCAGTTGTCTTGATTATGGTTTACATCTACTATTGTCTCGATTACAACTTACATCTGTTGTTTGTACTTTTTAATTAATTACTTTGATTTAGGATTTCAACTGATTATGGATGTTTCCATTAAATAATTATCAGAAAAAAGAATGTCAATAGAACTAACAATGTAATGCAAATTCTAATTCAAAATAGAGCAAATTACATAATTCCATTGATACATTTGATCGCAGAACGTGGAGTCTGGAGTTCACATTTTTTATTATCCCTGAGAACTTGAAGTTTGGAGTTCATATGATAATCTTCTATAAGCTTGTTAAGTCACAATAGTTAATCACTGAGAAGATGGTGACCGACAGTCTTCTCTGTTATGGATCATATGAAATTCCCTTGATAAATGGATGCATCACCATCAACAATTATGAGAAATTCATGGAGTTATTGTGATGTTCTAGCTATGAACATTTCCAGTGTCAGTTAAAGATAATATGTTGGCTGCCATTGGAAAATTATTTAAATAAATGGGATAAGGAAAGGAGCTTGCAATAAAAATTTCTTGAGTATTGAAATGCAAATTTGGGATTGCAAATTGTATCTGATGGGCGTTGATTATGTCTGTAAGCAACATGTCTAAGTTTCAAGCTCAATTGGGCTCTCTACAGATCATCAGCTGAGCTATACCCCTGTTTGTCTATGACAAATGGAAAGATATATTAGCTTGTTTTTAGAATTTTATAGGAATTTATTCCTATTATGTTCAAACTTTGAGTTGATCCTGGATTTAACTTTAGGAGGGTTGATTTGTTTAACAAGATCATTTGTTTCAAAAGTTTAATAAAAATACTGAGATTGGGAAATAAAATAAGCTTAGGATTTGATTTCTAGCTCTATATATAGTGGTTTAATACATTGAACAATGAACCCTTTGATTGATAATGGGCTTGAATATGATGATTATTTGAGAATTCTAGAATACTGATAATTGTTTAGATTTTGTTAATTTTTCTCCTGGGCTGGAGACTGTTCCTCAGTTCTATGTCAATTTGACTCCTGAGATATTGCCTCTGCCGGTTGAGAAAATGGTGTTTGTAGTCTGCTCTTTTTCTCAGGAGAGCAGGCAAAAACAAAATTATTGAAAATTTGTGAAGCACTTGGTGCAAATTGCTATTTCGAACCTGAAGATATAGTGAAACAGAGGCAACTAACTCAAGATCTATGCTGTTAAATTGGGCGGAATATGTTCACGTGCTTGCACTAAAACTAGTTGACCATATGTTCGTTTCTTATACTGTGCTTGCTAAGCATACATGAGCACTATTTGGCATTGCAGGCATATTGTAAGAATCCTTTCTATTATTATATTCTAGGATTTCCCACTTGAACATTCTGGGTTTGCATCATAACAGTTCTGCAGAAAATATGGAACTATATATTTTAACTTCAATCCAACTTGACTAGCCGTTATAGGCAGAAGTGGCTTATTCATGTGTAGACTTCATAAGTTGGTAGCCTAGTTCTGAATGCATTTTCTCAAGCTCATGACTATTGGTCAATGACTCAGAAGTTGCTTTTCCATCCCTTCATGTAATCAAATATATTTACATATTTCTATACATAGGTTCAATTCCAAGTTTTGTCATTCTCTATGCAACAACAAACAATTTCTGGATGATGCTCTATCATGCTCATTTCAGGTTTTTATCTTGTCTTTTCTAGTTAGAAGCCACTTTGGATGCTGGAATCCATCATCAAAATAAGGTCCTTGCTTCCATTGAATTTCACATAACAAAAGGGATGAGCATGATAACCAATTCATTCCATTGAATACTTAATGCCCACATTATTACACTTCTACTAGGTTAGAAGTGAGAAAGTTGTGGATGATACATTGAATATGTTGAACTTCAATGTTAAGAAAAAATGTCTTGTTGGAGAGGGATGCTATCCAGTATTTGCAAGAACTTGGGCGTTTTACTTTATTCTGGTCTATTTTCTTTTTTGGATAATAAATAAATTTGTAGTTGCTTCATTATTGTTGTATTACTTATTTGTGAAGAAAACTGTCTTGCTTGTATAGATTCAGGAGATGTTGGAATGGGCAACATTCAAATAACAATTTGCTAGTGGGAATAATATTTTCATTTTCTATATATTGTGGAATCACCTACAACATATTTTAGAACCAATTGTTTTACACATGATTTTCAGGAAACTATTGATGCATATTGACAAGTAAAATTGGATTTCTATACTTTAGTTTTGGTTAAACTTATCAATGATCACCATTAAGTGGGGTTAATTAAAACAAAATTCTTTTGTGCAGGCTTTAGCTCATCTACCATGCACTAAATTGAACATTTGATCATTACACACTTTTACAGGTAATGTCAGAACCAAGCAGTAGACTAGCACATAGATAAGTAGACAAGGATGTTGTACGAGGGTATGTTTGGATTTGATTTTTGAAAACAGTATTTTCTAGTTTTTTAAAATAGAAATCTCATATTGTTTTGGACATTGTTTTCAAGAGAATTTTCAGAAAACAAGTTCTTTTCAGGAGAACAATATGAAACTTTTATTAGCTTCTTTCTATTTCCTGTTTTATCCCTCTCTATAATTATCCTTTTCATTTTTATGTTTACAGGGGCTTGTGCACACCTTGAGAAAGAAGAGTTCAGCTCTGTAAATCTACAGAAATGCATTGCATAATCAATAAAACGTACCGCCATATAACATCTATCTCTGTATCTGTAACACCAGAAGATAGGAACAATTTCTCATGAGATCAAACAACCTTGCAGCAGAGCAAAATGCAGCAAACACATTGTTATTGATTCCTAATATGCTCCATCAAGTTTACCAGCTAGATCAAAAAGTCAAAAATTCACAAATGGAATCTTCAGGATTTTGGAAGAACAATGCTAATGTACCCCTACAAATGGAGGGTGTCTTGTACACGGACTTTTGAACTTGTGTGTATGACTTTTCAGCCAAAAAGGCTGAAAAATGTTTATCCACATATCCTGCATAAAAATGTTCTGTTTGGCTCTCCTCTTTGGCCATCCACCTGGTTAAGACGGAGACTTCTGTATTTTTTTATTCTGTTTTGTACATGTGTGTGTGTGTGTGTGTGTGCGTGTGTGTGTGTTTTGATATATTAATGTCCACTTCCATTTCCATAACAGAGACAAGTCCAACTCGAGAGGTTTTTTACCCAATTGCATGAACAAGCAGAAGTAACTTTTACCGTGAGCATTATTTGAATTAAAAATATGCGTGTCTGCTTATGACTTTATTTTCAGATAGTTGGCTTTGGGCTTAAGCTCATATTTTCCATCTTAGCATGGTAAATAGATTTATTTTAAGCTCAATTCAAATATTATGATCCATTAGTTACATTTTTTTTTTACGAAAAAGATATTCATATTGATAATTTTTTTTGGTTACTCATGTATTGATGATTCTTTTTCTTGGTAATAAAAGGGCCTAGGCCCAAAAAAGCCTAAGTAAGAATTGCGAGAGAGTAATCATTGCCAATTTGTCTATTTTGTTGTCCCAAGTGCTGATCAAAATAAGAGAAAAAATGGTGCTGTTTCGTGGGTGAGGGGATTTGGGCTTTGGGCCAGAGCCCATCTTTTTTATCTTAATAGGAAGATGGATATATTTTAAGCCCCCCATTCAGATATTATCATCTATTTTTTATTTTTACTCACAAAATTATTTTACATAAATGGTTAATTTTGAGTTTACATAGTATAATTCAATTTTTATCTAAAGGTCAAATAAAAAAATATATTATAATATATTTTTCTATTGACAAATTAATCAAATTACAAATGAGAATAGGAATGGATAAGGAGATGGTCATCTCCAGTTGTCTTTGGCATTATTGAGAATTTTTTGTAAGACTGTTTAATCTCATCACTAT